CGACTCTGATGAGAAGGATACCAAGGTTGAAATCAAGGTCGCCAAGTCTTCCGCTGCTCCATCGCCCACTCCCACCCCGACTCCCACGCCCACGCCCACGCCTACTCCTACGCCGACACCGACGCCGACGCCCCCCTCGTCCTCTTCTGCTGCGCCTTCCTCCAAGGCTGTCAAGAGTTCCAGCTCCAAGGCTTCCAGCGCAGCTACCTCCGCCTCCTCGACGACGTCAAGTGCCCCTACTGTCATGGCCGGCATGTTCCACGAGAACGATAACTCAACAACCACGTCCTCCGATTCCGATGGTACGACTTCCAAGCCCGCCACCGCCACAGAAACGGAAGAATCAGCACCCGCCACGACCTCCAAGGAGAACGAAGGTGTTAGGCAAGGCGGTGGTGCCATCGCGGGCCTCGTCATCGCCTTCGTCGCAGCCACATTTCTCTACTGAGTGTGATCAGTTGATAGTCGTATTCTTTCTTTCGCCCTAGCCAGCAGCAGCAGCCCGTTCTTCGCTTCCACGTCCATGCTTGTCAACACGACGCAGCGCCGTCCTTTTGCTGCCACCAGCCGACCTCGATTGTCTCGGAACCAGCCCGCTCGGTCGGATGTACTCTTCCCCACCCCTGGGCAAGCTCGCTTGTCACGTACCTTTTGCGCTGCTGGCACTTCTTCGTTTCAACCCGCCGCTTACGACCATGCGGCAAATTTTGCATATACGCCGGTAACATATGGCACTTTCATCCATAACAACTTATCTGGACGTATACATCGAATCCCCGCGATACTATCGCGACAGTCTAGTGTTTATTGTCTTAGCATTCTCGTGTTGACCACACGAGCAGGCAAAGCTTTCTTTCGAGTATCTTCTACTCGGCTCCTCTGACGAGGAGCATTTACATATTTTCGGATCGGCTTGCTTCTCATCTATACCCATTTACGCACGTATTATTTTTGATCTTAAACTATATTATTCGAGGAGCATGTGGAGGAAGCTTTTATGTGAAATGGAACATCGGTCATGACATGGAGGGGAAGCGGGGTATCTTGGACCGGAAAATTTTATTCCATGAGGGGAACTGTATCATGTGAGAACGTGCTTGGAGACCGCGTGGATGAGCATTACCCGAGAGCGACGGGGGGTGATGTGGAGTGGTATGTGGACAAGACATGACGGCTTGTCGAGCGTCAGTTGATGTCTGTTCTAGGGTAGTTCAGACCTCGATCAGGAGATATTGGGCCTGGCACTTGCTATACGGTCCGGTCCAATCAATCAACGAACGTTCATGCTCAATGATACCCCAGTGCCTCGATTCCAGCTTGACATCATCGCTTGCGTGTATTCACGCCAGCAGTCCTTGCTCTTCAATGACCAGGAGCAGAGTGCCACCTCGGAGGAGGGTCAGAGCAACTAACCGCTCCTGACTGCAACTTTTGCAAGAGTATGACGGCGGCGAGCTTGTCCGATGTCATGAGGTGGACGAATACGCCTCAATAGATGCAAGGTTCTGATTCAGAATGGTTGTCACAAGGCACTGTCTGGGGAAGGTTCGGTACCAGTCAATCGCGTATGTACAGGGTATTTCATTTTTCCATGATGCTACGTACTTCTTATGAGGTGCTCACCAAATCTAGATACAACGAACGGAAACAAAACCGCAAATGCTACTTAAAGGAGATGCGGTGGGAAGAAAAGAAGAAGAAACAGAGTTCCAATGCAAAACGCCCAAAGTCCATGCAATAATGCGAATACCAAACCAAATGCTCGCTTGCCAGATGCAAGATGCCACGCTCTCTACAGCAATCAACGACGCTCCCTCCTCGCCAACATCATCAGTATCCTCTCAAGCTCCTATCCCCCCTACCTACAAAGCGCGCTTCTGAATGTTGCACTTCTTCAAGCACTCGTCAACCCCGAGCGCAATACTAGCAGGAATAGCCTTGCGCACACGATCGATATCCGCACCAGCAATGCTCTGCCCAAACGTGGCAGCAATAACATCGTCCGTCAGCGCAAAGGTGCTATCCGCAACCTGTCCCGTGCCGAAATCCTCAGACGCAAAGCTCGCCACGAAGACGGCATCGCCGCAGTCCGGGTTGAACTGCGTGTGCAGAGAGCCCTGGTAAAAGGGGGTCATCTGGAAGGGGCCGAGCTCGGTGCGGATGGCGCGGCGGGTTTTGCCGTCCGCCGCGAGAACGACGCCGTTCTCGGGCGTCATCTCGGTGATGAGGCGGCCCTTGACGACGATCTGGAGCTCGGCGGAGCGGGGGTGGACATGGAGGGTGTTCATGCCACAGGGGCCGACGCGGCCTACGGCCATGCCGGCGCCGGTGCCGACTAGGGCAGGAAAGGTTTTGCGGTTGGCGGCGACGAGTTCACCTCCTTTGCCTGGGTTTTGTTGGGGTTGGTTGAAGTCGAAGATGAATTGCTTGTCGTCTGGGAGGAGCTTGAAGCGGTCTGCGGCGCTGTTTGAAGTTGTTAGTATGTTGGAGAGAGGGGCAGGAGGTTGAGAATGAGGGTAAGGAACCTACGTATCGGCGAGGAAGAGCTGCTGGGTGAGGGATAGAGTGGAAGTGGGAGCGGGAGCGGAGGTTGTCTCTGCGCGGGGGCTGTTGTAGGGCGCTGCGAGGGCCGAGGAGGCGAGGGCCAGGGTGAGGGCGACGGAGCTGGTTGTGAAGTGCATTTTGAATGTGTTCTTGTTGCTTTGAATGCTTGCTAGAGATGACGATGCCGAAAGAATGCTAGTCAAAGTGGAAAAGGAGACAAAGTAGAGGAGACTCAAGGAAAGATGAGATGATGTTATTGTTCGTTCACTGTGTGATGAGATGCGAGAGAAGAAGCCATCATCAGAGCGGGATCTGACGTCTAGTTATATACTGGCATCCCCTCTTTTGAAATGGGATGAACGTGAACAATTCAAGCTCGTTTGCGTAGTCTAATTTGGGATCCCATCCATCGTCGACCAAAAGCCATCCCGCATGGTCTTGAAAGATGGCTAGGGTCAGCACTCAACCAACGTTCGGCTCAACTCTCATCCTATCCGCAGCAAAAACCACTCACTCACTCGCTAACCAGTTAAGGTAGCCTTTCAAGATGACAAGAACCAGACCAAAGCAGACAGACACGGCTCCCACGTGCCTTGGCTCACAAAGTTCCTCCTCGGGAGCAGTGTAATCCGGTGAGGATTGACAGGGCATGGCCAGTTCGCGTGCAGGGCTTGGAGATTTTGACCTCGTTGTCAGCACTAGCGCGGCGTTGGACACCGGCCACGAGGTTGGAGAAGCAGGATGGAGGATGTGGAATGTTGAATTGGTAATCCCGGTCGGCGTTTGTTTTTGGAGCGGCGGGGAGAAATGTTTCCTGCGGCCGCGGGTCTCTGATCCAATCACGCATCGGCTCAGCCCTTTGGAGCGCCATTGAAACGTCTTTTCATTTGTTGCTGCGCTTCTCGGAGACCGCTACCCGGGACCCACATGTCGGCTGTGCATCGTGCACCCGCCAAACCGACCTCCCTCTCCGGCGCTTGTTGTCTTTGTCGTCCCAACCTAAAAATAACAGGGGAAGAGGGCAGACAGGGTGCGCACGTTATCTGTTTTTTCATCCCAAGACAAGTTGTTTGACAAGACATGGATTCCATTTTGTTTCCTCAACAAGCGTCACCACCACTCACATACCCTCGCACCGAAGGATGTCCAGCAGGGTCGTAACCCGGCCGGTCGGTCTTGTTTCCCTGATCTACGCCTCGCGGATTAGTGTCGCTCCGGGTTAGGTGGGATGCGACCTCGTGGGCTTAGACAGGCGCCTTTGATGTTGGATAGGATTGCTGTTCATATGTCGTGGCCTCCTGTCGCACCGCCGCGGCGAATGTTGTTATTTTCATGATCTCTGATTGTTGGCAGCTTTCGCCCGCAGCATGGGCTTGTTGATCAACACCCAAAGTCGAAACCTCACAGCAGCTGTTTACGGAAAGTGAACTCGACCCTGCTGTAAATGCGAAGTATTTGGGTCGTTGTTCAGGTCTTTGGATTATTGGTGAAGCTGGTATATGACTCGGTGGTCTACAGACGTCTTACTCACTCCGCTAGTATAACACACATACTAAGATTCTACGGTCAAGCTTCATAAGCATAGTGCTTATCGGGACCGGGGAACAGCCAGCAATCCGAACACAGTCAGACTCAGGAGTGTAATTCGAAAGATGTTCTTCAGTGCTCCCTCAACGAAGACTCTGTGGTATCGGCTCGGTCGATACCGAGATGACGAAGACGCAAGACCGGTGGATCCGTCCTTCACCGACAAGAATCTGACGCCCTACCCACACAATGTCCATCATGATCTGTAAAGGAGACGTCCACGTAACTATTGGCTCTTCCGACTTGAGGAGAGCTGGAGCTCATCTAATTCCTCCTGGGCTGGGTCCGGAGCAAGTGGTTTCCGAGCGTAGTGAGTGGGAGGGGGTTACAGTTCCTTCGGGATATTGACTGCCATAATTATGTCGGTTAGCAAGGTAAGGTACACCAGCTTGCCGGTATGACCGAGACATGGGATCCCACACCGAAGAGAGAGTTATATTGGCCTAAGTATTACTCACCTTCGACCCCAACCGAGGGAGCCCAAGCCGCTCACGCGGTCTTAAGCTGTCCCCGACCCGATAATCAACACATGCGACCATACCCATTGGAGAATTCGGGATCCCGTCCGCTCTCCCATAGACAAGCCAGTGAGGGCCAGAGTAGTAGTCAGGTCGGTGACGACTGGCGAATGCCTGGTGTTGCATGTAATCTATCATTTTGTTTTTGGTTTGGTTATGTAGTTCAGGTAGGTACTCTGGGGAAAGGCCTCCCTCCGTTTTGCGATTTCTGCATCACTGAGCGAGTAAAACTTTCCTTTGGTACACAAAAGAGAAACCAGATTGAGCAGAGGACTTCTTCCAAGCCACGCAGCTTTTCTTGCTAGAGTTCCCGTCACGGCTACTCCGTACATATATGCCAAGCTTCATACCGAGTACTTTAATGCTATGTGTGATCGAACACATCTATGCTCAGTTTGAGATCCGAAACTAAGTATTACGGACTCTGATCTCATCATCATGCATGCTTTTCATCTGTTCCAAATATGGGTCATCTCCAACCCAAGCCCCTCCTTGTGTATCACCCTCGAAGAGCTGGGCGTAGACCTCATCTACATTTGGCAGCAAGTTGCCGGCCGACTGGGTGAACCGATCGAGTGCTTTCTGGAACTTTTGCGGCTTGGTTTCCCTGTCGACATATGCTTCCGCAATGTTCTCAATCTCAGCCTATTCTCGCGTCAGTTCTAGTCGTCTGTGTCACAGGGGGAAACATTTCATCAAGTCGTACATTTAGAGACGAATACGCCACTGCAGTCTTTTCTTCGACTTGAACGTAGAGCCGAGCAGTCGAAGTCTTTTCAATGATTGCCTTGAGCTTCGCAGCCTGTGCGTCCTCCCTGAGACTGGAAAAGAGTTCCATGGCCTATCGAGAATAACGTCAGCATATTGGACAAGAGCAGAAGGAATTGGGATGCTCATCCCAAATACAACCACCGCTGCGATGAGTCCATACTGTCAAATTATAGCACGATTAGCACATAGCCACATACAAGAACAGTCAATTCACACGAACTTACGATGCCAGCTCGCGCAAGTCCTCGGACGGCAGCAATCGCCTCGGCCCCGATGACCTCTTCCTCCAACATGCCCGCCCGTACAACACTTAGGATGTCTTGCGCAACGATTTCCTCGGAGGTGAGTGCGATCCCACCTTGTTCTTCAATGATTGGGATCTCCTCCGCAGTCCCAATCTTGAACTTCTCAGTCAAATTTGCAATCTCTATTTCCCCGAGTCAAGTCTATGAAAGAGTCTGATTCGGTTGTGTTTACTTACCACTTGCGGACATCTGACTGTTCGAAGCCGCCAGCGCGGCTTGGGATGCCTCCAGAGCCATTGCTCGTTGCGCAATCGCTTCACAGATGTCAGCTCGGGTATGATGTTTCAAGGCTTTCGTCTCGGATGCCTCACTCCTGGCGTATGCGTGGCCCATCCTAGTGAACGCTTCGGACTCTAAAGCCAACCCCTTCTCTATGGAAACGTTAGTCTTGCGGCACCTCTTTCGGTCGTCGGCTCTTTCTGTGTACTTATTTGGAATACATAGTGTACTGTGACGCCGTTAGATTTGCCTTTGCGATCACCAATTATCAACAGAGACTTACAAGCAAGGAATGAAGAAACAGTCTTGCTGAGGTAGATTCCAATGTCAATGAAATCTTTGGCTCCTCCAATGAGCAAGTTCATCATGCCATCGGTTGGCTTCATCTTGTCGAGCTCCTGGTAAGATTAAGTGTTAGTATTTTCTGGGAACCAAGTCGGCTTGTACTAGGCACTGATGTACCGCCAGGAAAGTTTCCGCTTCCTTCTTTGGAAGTTCAGCAGTGACTCTTTTCATCAGATCATCGATGCTGGAGAGACCTGCTTTTTGAGCGCAGCCTGTGTACTCGCATAAGCCCGTATGGCATTCGCTGCAAACTCTCCCTCATATTTCTTGGTCCTTTTTTGCTGGTCAATATCGACTCAGTATGTCTTGAATAGGAGGGAAAGGGACGTACGTTTTTTGTAGCAGCCGAGTGTGCGTAATCAAGGTCTCGCAGCGCTTGACGGCTTTTTCTTTGTTTACCATGTTAGGGATGAGCCTTAGTTGGACGACATTATTATGATACACAAGGAGAAGGCCGAAGCGCTCAAGGAGAAGAAATAAAGCGATGGCACTGGAAATCATGTGTTTATGGCTAAAATCGCCCCCTTTGAGTAATTAAGCCTATTTCCATGTCGTCGGTTGCAAGTCTGCGAAATGGCTAGAGTTTTCAGCAATGCAACAGAAGTTAGTGCCTGGCTTGGTCAGACTAGTATTCAGATTTGCGACGACTATTAAATTCCTAGTATTGCATATGTCTCTCCTTCTGACTCTTATCCCGCGTGGCTGGGGTATTCTCAAATTGCGTAGGATATCATGTCATAGTCAGTTTAAGTCACATTGTACCTCGGCTACGCAAGCTGTCAGAGTAGATGAAACGAATGCCAATACACAAGGAAGTTGCAACTTTCGAAGGCTGGCACAAGTAAATTGCCTCCACGCACTTGAGCGTGGAAGTGCCGACTTGAACCATTGACCAAGCCTCACAGATATTAAACCGTCCTAGTCCAAATGGGCTTCTTGTCCAATCTTGACGATCTCGTTGTACACATGGAACAAGTTTGTTTCCGTCCACATATTCTCAAGCAAAGATCGCAGAGACTGGGCGCCGCCCTCAACACTTAGAGCCCTGGTAGTCCGGTTGTACTTATCCACTAGGGCCTCAAGGAAACCAGGATTTGCGTATAGGCCAGTATATCCACTGTACGGTGCAGTGATGTTGACGGTGCTATAGTCAGAAAATGACACAATGACATATCCGCCCTCCGTCTTCTCATCGTCATATACTTGTTCTATGCCTATTTCCCCCGAGAGCTTCTGCACAGCTTCGTCCCCTACCAGCGTCCCGTTGTATACAAACGGACTGCTCAAGTCCAGCAGTACCGAGGCGGCGAGGCAGAACAGGACGCTGTACTGTGCTTGGTCTAACGTCTCGGGGTGAGCGATCTGATGCGCTTCTCGCAACAGGCGAGGGCCGACGTAGGCTGTGACACCCTTGACCTCCTTGTCCCAAGGATCTTGCTTCTTGTAATCCTGGATGCCGGTGACGAGCGTCTGGAATCTCAAGTGCATGGGATAGTGCTTCGCGGTCGTCGCCTCGCAGTCCCATCGATCACCGAGCTGATCCGTGAGCGCGGTAGCGTTCGGTTCCGGCGAGAAGGCGTGCAGAAACCCCATCTCATTCTCCAAGATGTCAGGCGGACCCGTAACACCCGCGCGAGCCATGAGCGCAGCCTCGATGCCCAAAGGCCCGCCGTGGCCCGGATGAATCTGCTTCGTCTTGGCATCCGTCGTCTGGAAAGCCACGAGCCCGCCTGAGCTCGACGCCGCAACTCCCATGGCGGATGCAATGGCCTCGGCGTCCCATCCGAGGAGATTGCCAACCGTCGCCGCCGCCGCAAGCTGCCCGTTGATGGCCGGGTTGTGGAAGCCACGCTCGTCTTCTACCGAGGCGCTTGACGCGAGGCCGATGCGCGCGCAGACATCGTACGCTGCGGCGAGAGCGGTAAGGAAGTCCTCGCCGGTGGTGGTTGTGTTTCGTGTAGAGGCGTATACTAGTAGAGCGTGGAGGACGGAGGAGGACGGATGTGCGTTCAGCACGACGTGCTCGATTTGGAATGCGCCGGTTGCGATGCCGTTGAGGTACATTGCGCCAAAGATTGTGGTCTCTGAACCATCGATAGCTGCGACTGACTGAGGTCCGCCGTTGCCGTGGATGGTAGTTAGTGCCTCCGTCGGAGACTTGTAGACAGGCTGAACCATGCCGGTCAGCATGGCTGTGACGATGTCGAGCACGAAAATAGGAAGGGAGCTGTATAGGGTCTTTGGCAGCGCTTTGGAGGTGAGGCTGGCAGCGAAACTCGCCAATTCCATCGTGTAGTTTCCAGCGGTCATGGTGGTTATGTTCTTGCTGGGTTCAGTGATGGAGGTGTTGTAATAAACCACTGATTAGTACGAAGAGCAAGTCTCTTGATTAGCAAACTTGAAAATGTACCTACTCACGGTTAGAATCAACAAACTCCATATCATTCATTATACTTCTATTATACGATGACGATGAGATGGCTCCACAGGCCTGGGGACGATTTCGGAGTTTTGCCGCAGTCCTCACTCAAAGGCGAGATATATCTATTTATATGGCGAATCTCCGTGGCAGATATCGTACCCGGTGACAGGTTTGATTCGATTCCCTCTGTATCAATGGTGACTATTCTAACGCCCGAGGGATAATACCTTGAGCAACATTGCGGAGAACTTGGTTGAGATAATTATCACCTGCAGCTCAATGCTAAGATAGAGTCTCTCTACCAAGTGTCCGTAGGCAAGACCTTGTGACTGAAAAAAGAAACCAAATTTTGGAGCCATATGTCTGACTCGGTACGAAATCGTATGTTCAGTCTGGACTTTTTATGTCTGAGATAAGCGTGTTAGAGAAGTCTTCCGTTATGTCATTGGACTATCCCTCCTACACCTCTGGAAAGAGGCTCAGTAACAATACAAAGGTCTTCAAGGTTCTCACAAAGCATGTAAAGCGGGCGTGAGTAGTCTCTCATCCTCCACTTCTTCATGTCGTCCAACAGACTGGCAAAGTTCAGTAGACACCGTTGCGCGGAACGAAGCCCACCCAAGCGCCTTTCTTTGCGCATGGAGACAGAACCACCGAGCCGGATAAAGTCCGCAGTTGCGCTGCCCATCTCGCTGCCCAATACCCCATCAACGTTACCAGACAGGCCCTCAGCGCCGAGGGACTTCCAGTCAACGTCGCCGAGCCTGATGTGCCAGAGGCCGATGGGTTCCTTATCACCATGGTAGATAACATGGAGCTTGGTGGGAATGAGATGGTAAGTTCAAAAGCCGCGATGGGGGTTCCTAAAACTCTCTAGCAACGGTAATCTCATCTCCTTGGCAGATAATACAAGACACGCGCGATTTTCAAACGGTTGTTGCCAAGGTCATTCTGCCCTTCCGTGATTACTACTTAAAAGACATAGTCTTATTTTGCAGCCGCGATTTGACTTTGGATTCAAGGCCTTTGTTCCGCTGTACATGGGAATCGGGTTGATGCGAACAGGATCGCGGGTCCCGAGCCGTACGACGTGCAGGCTTTCGAGGATATCTACCCTCATCTTCTGATAGTTGGACCTTATTTGGGCAGCAATGTCAACGAGCCATCCAAGATATGATCTTTTGAGAAAGTTTTAGGTACGACTAGATAGTATACAGCAGATAGTGAATGGTTTACCTAAGTAGAAATGAAGTAGAGTAAGATGGATGAAGAGAACGAGTGGTTGCAGAGACTTGGACGTGGCGAACCATTGGTTAAATGTGTGTGAGTCACAGCTCCACAACGAGGTGGAATATAGGTTGCAGAACCCTCGGACTGTCATCAACAAGCCTGAGCACAATAGCTCAGGGGTAGAGCGCTGGGCTCATAACCCAGAGGTCCCTGGATCGAAACCAGGTTGTGCTACATAATCTTTTGCATTTTGCGGCAATGTGTTCTTTTTGAACGAGGTTCCCCTATTCATTTTGTTTTGGCCCGATAGACATCGTTGGGGTTGCGTTCCCTGCCATTGAAGACTTGTGTGCTGCTTAGTCAGAAAAGTGCACCTATCCAGCGACATCTTAGCTACGTCCGTGTAAGGTATTCAGACTATATGCTATCTCACGAGCAGGTGATTCATCAGTATTATACATCAAGTGGATGAATCCTGTTCTTGTCGAATTGCGCAACACGCTCGGGGATGTGGAGAAGGCATTTTACTTCTTTTAACCTCTGAAGCTTGCTACTTTACATAGTACATATACAAATTCTATCTTTACAAAGCCTTCTCTCGTTGGCCAACAACACGATCGAAACTGTCAAATGCCATCGTCATCGAGTGTCTTCCGCCAGTCTTGCCTCTCAGCTGCTCGTCAAAGTTCAAGACCTCCTTGAACGGCACCTTGGCCACAATCTCCACCGTCCTTGCCAGCGACTTCTTCCCCCTCAGCGAAGCCACAATCTCGTAGGGGTCTGGCGGCGCGTAGATACTGCTGACGTCGATGTGCGAACTCGACTCGGCGGACTTGTCGTTGACCTCCAGCACGTGCCCACCGGCTCCCGAGCTGATGTCGTGCTGCACCAAGCCCGCGGCCGCCTCGGGACAGCTGATGTGTAAAAGCATGACGGGCTCGAGGACGCCCACGGCACCCTTTGTGATGTGCGCCTCGCGGAGTGCTTCGCGCACGGCTCGAGATGCTGCGCCGGCAAAGTGTCCACCGGACGGGCTCTCGACGGCTGCGGCGTCGACGGTGATGGTGATGTGGCAGCCTTGGACGGGGGAGCCTCGGCGTGGGCCACGGGCCACGGCTGCGACGGCGCCGTTGATGAGTTGCTGTCGGGCTTCCTCAGGATCAAAGGCGATGTTGCCTTCTTCGGGCAGATCGATGATTACGTGAATGATGTTTCCGTCGCGTTCGATAGTTGGCTCAAGCGCGGCTTGGCGGTGGTGGTCTTCCAGAGGTTCTAGAGTCGCTGTACATGATACTTTGCCTGACTTACTTGCGACGACCCGGTCAAAGGTGACATGATGCGGTCCGATTGAAGATGTGATGCACTCCTTGTAATCGACCTCGATAGGGCCGAAGTCGGCTTGAACCTTAGGGTTCTGCTTGAGGTTGTAGACGGCGATATCAAGGTGAAGTTTGCCCATACCCTGCAGGATGAACTGTTCCGTCTTCTCGTCACGGCTCCATCTCAAGCTGGGGTCTTCTCGTGACGCATTTTCGAGTGCGATCTCTAGCTCCTTGGAAGCTGTGGGCCCGTGAGGGTCAATCGCGAGGAAAGCCACTGGCGGAGGGATTTCTGGTGGTCTGATCTGGATGTGCTTGAGAGCATCTGGAATCTGTTTCTGAGCGACAGTCGCAAGTAGCGTGTCGCCCGTACGAGCCTTCTTCAGACCCTTGATGGCGCCAATCTGTCCCGTTGCGAGGTGCTGTACATCTTCCGTCTTCTCTGCGGATATTTGCAACAAGCCGAACGGGCGCTCTGCAAGCTGATTATGCGTATTCCAGGTGGACGAGTTCTTGTGAAGTTCGCCAAAGTAGACTCGCACGAAGCTCAAGATCCCCTCTTTGGGGTGATTATAGACCTTGAAGACAGAGGCGACTGCTGCCACACGCTGCTGGCCTGGCTTCTTGCTCGAGTTCTGATCTAGTAGCGCAGTGAGGTTGTGCTTTGCCGGCCCGGCGCGAATCTCAAGGTCAGGTCGTTCGTCAGGACTGGGAAGGTAGTCAACGATGGCGTCCATCAGGGGCTCGACACCGATGTGCCGGAAGCTGGCACCTGCCAGAACGGGAATGACGTTTCCGTCGCCGCTACGGATGGCGCTTCGAACGCTGTCCTTCAACATCTTGCCTGTGATTTTGCTTGGATCGTCTGCGAACAAATCCATGATGGACTCATCCCATTCAGCGAGGCCTTCAATGAGCCGCTCACGAGCTGTCTCAATCTCATCGAGAAGATAGTTGCCCTTGAGCACCTCTTGTAGTTCCGCGAACTCGTACTTCGTCTTCTGCTTCTCTGCCTTCCACCGATATCCAACTCGGTCAATGACGTCGATGATACCGACAAACTGGTCGCCTTCCCACCACGGGATTTGGCATACGAGTGGCCATCCGTTCAGACGTGACCCGATTTCCAACACAGATTTTCGAAATGAAGCACCGTCTCGGTCGAGCTTGTTGACGAAGACAATGCGAGGGATCTTGTGGTCGTGTGCGGAAGCCCAGACTCTCTCCGTGTGAGCTTCCACACCTTTCACTGAGTCGATAATACACACGGCGCCATCAAGAACGGGCAGACACCGGTCGACCTCAAATCTGAAGTCTTGATGACCTGGTGTGTCGATAAGATTGATCGTTTTAGGGGTTGTGCCTGGGGCGCATTCCTCGTGAAGGGGCCAGTTGAAAGTGATGGCTGCTGACTGAATTGTGATACCTCGTTCCCGCTCCAGGTCGAGGAAGTCAGTCACTGTATTCCCTGCATCGACGTCTACAGTGTTGCGGTCAGCCAAGGGTACATACTTGCCGCCGTTACAGCTCTCATCCGGTTCCGCGAGAGTGAACGTCGACATGAAGAAAATGATTACAAGGTGAAGTGATTCTTACATACCCCCAACACGGCGGGTCACGCCGCTATAATACAACATGCGCTCAGTTGTTGTGGTTTTGCCCTAAGAATCAATCAGCCATCTTGTAACTCAAGCTCAAAGAGCGACTTAATACGCACAGCATCGACATGGGCAATGATTCCAATGTTTCTGATATCCTTGATGGGAGACCGATGCTTCGATTGTACTGAAGGCATGTGTATTGACCTTCGAAAGCTCACGATCCCAGCGGAAAAAGAGCACCCTGGAAACCGGCCGACATGGCCTCGCCTGGGCACTGAAGCTCGAAAGACCAGCATGGCTAGACCATCAAATGTATGTGCGTTTCTGTAGCACAAACATGAACGGGAAAGGTTCCGATAAACTCCAATTACATTTTAGGGTGCCATGAGATAAGCACGGAAAGAAATCGGTCGTCGCAAATGTCGTGAAGTCAGATCATGGATGAAGCTGTTCAGAATCCGACGGCATGAGAGCTCTCTCATCGACTGCACACTCACTTTGATGAGTCGGCAATCAACCAATCCGCGCAACAAATGACCATTCACCCATGTAGCCCAAGATAGGAAGGCGGTCAGTAGAACTTTGGCTCGTTCCTGCCAGAGCGGATGTCAGTGTCAAGTCAGTGACCTCCCTCAGAAAAGAGGCTGGGGGGTTGTGTGGCTGGTGCTGGCCGCTGCAACTTCGCGGTACCTGTGATTTGCGCCTGCTACGTGTACAAGTGCCGGGTAGATATACTTGCTCCATCAAGTATCCACCAGCACACTCCTTCTATCTGCCAGGAGCTTCAGGAGCCAAACAGTTACGGACCTTGACTCGTCAGCCTCTTGTCCGGACGTCACACCTTGCACCCACCTTGCTTCTTCTTCACACCCACACCCACATCACAACACATCTTTCTTCCAAATCCGTGATATCTAGCTGCCTGGCCGCTTCATCCACGCCAGCTTCCCTTCTTCCTCTTCTCTCATCCACCTCGCTCGCCCTCCGCCATCAAATCTCCGTCCAATCCCGACCGTAACGCAATTTACAACTCGCCAAAATGGAGCTTTCCGACGCCTTGTATGTGGTCCCTAGTCTTTGCGATGCGGTAGCTACCCAGTAGCTATCCTGCGCATGCGCAAAAAGCTAACCAAGCGTCACTCGCATCAGCCGTATCGTCAACTTGGCCACCGCGACCATCATGGTCTTGGGCGGCATTGCCCAATTCTTCAACTTCAACTTGTACGTCGTATCCGATCCCCCCGACGAACCTCCCCTGTCGACGACATCGACTTGCGCGCGCGCACGGATTCTTCGTGCGACGGCCGAACCCCTTCATCGTGACGACGGAAACAGATGGGGGCATAGAAATTCGATGAATCTATACTGACAACTCTGCCTGTGTAGCCAGGGTATCATTGTTGGCGCCTACGTGATCATCTTCGGTCTCTGTAAGCATTCCACCCCTCGTGAAGCGTTCATAGAATGCACTCTTGGTAGTGACATGGCTAATGCAACTCGATTAGGCACCGCTCTGCTCGGTATTTGATAACGGATCCTCCACCTCTGAAGCTCCTCTAACAAAGTACCAGAGTTCCAGATTCCTCCCCAAGTCTCCCGTTACGCCTCATTCCTCTTCTCTTTCGTTGGCCGTGGTGTCTGTAAGTTTCAAAGCCCCCCTCGAATAGTACTCGCAGTCGATACACACTGGTTCTAATGCGGCGTCCTTCCTCCCAGTCTACATTTTCATCGGTTCCATCCTTCTCTCCGACGGCGTCTTCAAGATCATTGCCGGCTCCATTGTCGGCCTTATTGGCGTCGCCTACGTCGTCCTCGAGTTTGTTCCCCAGATTGAGCCGCCAGCCAACATGCGTGAGGCCGATGGCGGCTGGGGCGCAGAGCAGGTGTAAGCTAGCAGCCCCTTTTCAACCACACAAAGAAACCAAATTTCATCTCGGATGCCTTTTGCACTCTCCCAACATTGAAACCGTTGGATGAGGAGAAAAGGCACGGATTCTTCCCCCCCGTTTTACAATTCGCGAAATAAGACAATGAACCGGATTTGCTGAGGCTTTTTTTCTTTCGAAACTCAAGATACTGAAAAGAGACGGGGAACTCGACATCGCGTAAAACGATCACGACAACCAAATCCTCAGCTTCATCCATGACAATGGGGAAGAAAAAGAACGAGAAGAGAAGCGACCAAATAGGAACGACAGTGTGGGAAATTTCGACGAGAAGCTCCCTTATGTTGTTTGGCCCCAACGGGCAGGCTGTATATTGTGTGTATTCACCACTGTAAGGCACGACGGTTGTATGTGTGTGTGTGTGCGTTGTGTAGGGAAAGAGCATATGCTTCATTGCGTTTCAACTTGTACGACGGAAGACTGTGCCAGGTCTGGTGGCACCTTGTATGACTTTTTTCTTAGATGGTGTACAGGAGAAATGGAGGTCGGGAAAAGTAGGGTATTGTTTGGGATCCGCAATGGTTAGTCGTAACAGACCTGATTTTTGCCCTCCAGAAGCCTTGTCCACACTACAAGACGTTTCCATGATGCCCGAGAAGAGTCCAGCCTCTGTGATATAAGTGCGGGTGATACACCATTCCAGTGTTTCCGTGGTTCTAGGTTTGAGCGAAACATTGCTCATTCATGGTTTACGGTAACCGAAAGGCAGACTTCTGGTAACAAGGGGGGACAATCCCATTGTTCTGTAAGCAACTAAACCATGTGAGCAAAGTGCATTGCTTCAGCTTTTGATATTTTAACGCGCAGATTTCCGATGGGAAAGAAGGGCTACTACATACAACCCTACAGCATCCAACGACGCCTTTTGCCATGCCGGTTTTTGTCCCTCTTCATTCCATCCATAGAACACGAAAATATCTCTGTCTTCCCGAATGCCTGTTACCACTCCTTACCACTTCTCCCGAAAACCACTTTGCGAATGTTTCGGTAATCTGTCAATAAACACCCGTTGGAAAAACACATCCACCTTAAACAACGATGGAAAAAAAAACTCCAAGTCCACCTTTGGGGTGGGGAACCATCTCCCTCCCTCCCTTTGCGCGCGCAAATTCCACTTTGTAATTCCATTCGGTTGTTGTAAACAGAAGAAAACGCCCTCTTCGTGAGTCGGAGAAAAACACCCTGTAAAGAAAGATGCCATTTTTTGTTGAGTGGCCGCCAAAATGCGTCCCAAAAACAACCATCCTCTCCCATTTTGTGTAAGGCCAGACCCCGTCCGTTTTTGTTTTTCTCGTTCGCCCCTGGTGAAACCTCAAATGGAAGAAGAATAGCTTCAACCTGTTTGGTGATGGAAAGACAGCCCCAGCCGACCGCTTCGCACAAAAAGGAACTCCAAGCCATGATATGTGTGTGCCCATGTTGCCCCAATAAAATCAGTGTTCCGATGATCCCGTGGTTCGTTTGTATCGTGATGGAACTGTCATTAGTTTCCCATGTCCGCTAGCTCCTTCTCTTTCGCTGCCAACATCTCCCTCATCCGTTCAGCTTCCCGAATCAATGCTGCCCTCTTCTCTGCCTTGACTCTTTCGTTTTCTGGCCTGAATCCCGGGTTGCTCGTCTGACTGCTTGGTCCAGGCGATGGAAGAGGCGTCATCTGAGCATTCGAGTAGGATCCAGGACTTGGTGCCGAGGCGGCCGGCGACATAGCAGATCGGGCGTAGTGTTCCGCGGCATCATCGCTACCCGAGTGGTAGGCCGGGCTGTCATCCGCTGTTGTCGGGTTGAGGATTGACTTGATGGACGATAACCGCTTGGACGTATCCGGTCCCCCGTCGCCAGACGGATTTCCTTCCGCAGAAAGTGACCTTTTCCTCGATGGAGACAAGAAAGAGCCGGGTGACAGGGAGGGTTGGCGTTCCCCCATGGCGGCGAGCGAAGTGATGGGAGCAAGGCGATTATCGTCGTTCAGCGATCCTGGATAGGGGTTCGAAGTTCGGGAACTCGAAGACTGATACGCAGCCAAGTCATGCGAAGGCAGCGGCGAGCCTTGTCGATTCTGACGCATAAGTGGATCTGGAAGCATGGTGGCAGGATTCTCTTCCCGACGTCGAAAGCCCAAATTGATGGATCCATCCTCGTTCATCGTGCCCCTTTCTGGACTTCCCTCTGGTGCCACGCTCTGCGTCTCCGAACCCTCAAGCATCTCTTCTGTCCATTCGCCGCCAAACGAAGATGGTATCACTCGTTTCCGTCGCTTGATGATCGACTTCTTCATAGTCACAGGCCGGTGAACTCCGTGAAGTTTGTAGTAAAGACCTGTTTATGTCAGCATGTCGAAGATTTCTCCAGAAAAAAGGCGGCACGTACCGCAAGCATTGCAGATCGTGTGGCCACTTTCGTCTCGTCTCCATAGCGGGGTGATGGTAGTGCCGCAATTTTGGCAGGCGATCACAACGGTGTGATTCGGGTTTTGTGCTTGCTGTAATTGCAGCGCGGCGATATCGACAGGAGCAACAGGGTCGTCTACGGCCATGGGTTCTCCTTGAGATTGGCTAGACGAGCCGCCGCCGCCGCCACCGCCACCACCACAACCACCTTGCCCCTGAACATTCAGATGGGCGGATTTCGAGACTCGGTTGTTGTACGCAGGACAACCACTGCAGCCTTCGGCACCACCGGTACCGTTGCACTTTCCACCACCTGGGCAGGTGCCTGATGGCGCCTGTTCCTCCGTAACATACGTCGGAGCGGGAGCACTGAGATATTTTGGGCCTGGACCTGGTGCTGGCGCAATCTTTGGGGGAGCCGTCCTCGGTGCCGCAGCAACAAGATGCGGGGGTTTCTTAAGGTTAGTTGGGCGGGATGCGTTTCTCGCCTTCTGATACAGGCCGCAAGCGTTGCATATCGTCGTTCCCTGCGGAGATCTCCTCCACAACGGTGTTCGTGTTGTACCACAGTTACTGCAGCTGGTCAATTAAGGGTCCAAAGGGGGTTGGAAAGAAGCCCGTCGCCCTCTTACCTGCAGACCTGACCCGTCTGGCCTGAAGAAGACGTTGTCGCCGTTGACGGTGCCGGGCTGGGTCTTGGTTCTGACCTCACGTCCTTCGGGGAGCCATCACTGGATACTGATACCGGACTCCTGGCCTGCGACCTCGACATGGTGTCGCTCGACGGACTACGTCGGGAGTTTGGCCGCAAGGTCGCCGGCCCCTCAAGGCTCTCGCCTCGGCCTATTGGACTGGGGCCTCTCGCCTGCTCCATGGCAGCGTACTGCCCTCCTTCGCGGGCCTTGGGGGACATGCGTCGAGATGGGAGAGCGGTTCGGATGGTCGAGGGGGGCTGTTTTGCCGTCCCCTGTGCCGCCGACGACATGCCATCGGCCATAGCCATTCGTGGAGAGCGTGGTTTCGGTCGAGGTGGGATGTACTAGCCGTGGGTGGTGTTGAGAGCAGTAGAAGACGTGTGTACTAGTCGAGGCGAAGTGTAAAGAGGACCTCGACGAGTAGGAAAGGGGTATCGAGTACGTTGATTTGATGACTTCGTTAGGCAGAGATAATGCTTGGCCCGGAGAAAGGAAACGGCTTCGGAGGAGGAAGGAGATAACTAGCGGCGAGACGGTCGTAGGATGGCGTATAAAGAAGGAGGAGAGGAGTAGGGCCCGAGTCAAACCTAGACAACCCCACCACGGTGCAAAGGTGGTTCGACGGTCGGCAGTCCGGAGGAGGAGAGGGTCAGGGAATGAAATTGGCCCGTCCTCGAGTAGACGACAACGTCAGGAAGTGGCTGTGGAAGACCGGATGACGGAGCAAGAAGGCGGAATCGGAGGCCGGGGGAAGGAAACAAGCACCAGAGGGTCGCCACCGTTGATCCAGGGCAACAAGAAGGTCTCTAGGTGCTGATGCCTCTTTACGGGGTACACAGTGTGGTGTGAGAGGCTGAGGGGCCTACTGTACGCCAGGGGTCGGTTTCTTCTACAGCCCCGGATTCGGTTTCTTCTGCTCTACCAGGAAGAGGGGGGTGTGAGAGTGTTGCAGAAGAGTTGAGAGAGCGTACGGGAGCCTAAGAGGGTAATGATGGTGATTTCGAGTGCATGCTGAGGAGAAAACAACCGGCGTTGCTGGCGTTGACAGACATGTAAGAGCCCCTCGTCGACGGGAAGGGCAGCGAGTTCCTCTAGAGGGTTCACCGGGCGGTGAGAGAGGTATCGGCAGGTATTTGGTGGGCTCTTGGGGGACAACAGCAGTTAGGTGGGAAAGGGGGGTGGGAGGTTGCTTGTGAAGTCTTGAAGCAGGCCAGAGTTCTGGAACGGTGGAAGCCAGCCTGGAAGCGTAGTGAACCTGTGTTGATCTTGGACAGGGGCGGGTGTTGGTCTAGTGTGAAAGTAGTCGAGGCCACTTGTATGTGAGGTGTGCCAGTACTTGCGTAGGGCGGCGGTGATGTGAGGGACGAGGAGGAACCGCGGCGCTGGAAGTGCGTGAGGTGGTGGCAGAAAATCACGAGAACAGACTGGACAGCCCACGCTACGGCTCCTGCCTGCGACTAAGCTGCTGCGTCCGCGTCTGGGCTCTCTCCTCTCTCGCTTCCCAATGACGAGTGACGAACGACAAATGGGGGAAAATCGGAGCCCAGGTGCTGGGTCACCGTGGGTGATCTGAGCTGAGAGGTCACGGATTACAACAGGTGGTCGCTGATTGGTTGTGACGAGGAATGTCGCTAAGGCACAACGACAAGGGTGACAGGGGACTTCGATGTCTTCTAATCCACCCGCCGGTCCAAAAATCCACCTAGCTGCGTCCAACATCGCGGCATTGATGGCACTTGGGTCCAAGAGACTTTTTTTTCTTTTTCTCTCTTCTTTCTCTCCTTCCGTGATCCAAGGATGGGACTCATTCTGTTCGTAATATCAACTCTTTTACGGTTTCCGCGTACGTCGGGAAAATATTGCTTCGGCTGTTTCGTCATCTTGCCTGGAGTCACGAGGTTGAGTACCTTTTCATCCATGAATCTCGTCTCGATATCTGGCCATATCTCACATACTCTCTCAAATCCTTTGACGAAAGCAGATCGTGACCAAGACACCACAACCAAGATCCCTCCAGACCAGTCACCAAACATCTGGACCACGATAGCGACAGGCAGGGGCCCTATGAGACGATAAGTACCCAGACTCCAGGTCTAGTCCCGAACAATACGGCGTAATTAGCCTTTCCCGGGCTGGCGTCGCCCAGACTTCCCTGCTTGTGCTGGCTGCTGGATGCTAGCAACTGGGTACTGGGGGGGAAGACGCCGGTTCGCTGCGACTCCATCTAGCGGACGGTGGACACCACCTCTGATTTGCCTGACTCTGGAATGGATCAATCGGCACGTCTGGCGAACATACGCCGTCTCCATGTCAATGCTGCGCCAAACCCTTGGAGGGGGCCCTTCGCTGTCCACCCCGCGACCAGGACGGAATTGACGAAGAATTTGTTGCGGTAACCTTAAAGCCGAGTGTGACGGCCCTGCCTAGCGCAGCATTGGCTTCGACTGACACGCGCATGTTTGTGAGCGTAGCACCAGTCAGGTAGTCCCATCAGGTCATCTTCCTGTCGTATTTCAGGACATGCTTCACCGACTGATACTGCAGTGTGCTGACATCTCTCTATGAGGCGTCAGCTTTGCTCGTGTAAGAAGAAAGGATATCATCCTACCTTACCTAATCGTGTTCCAATAGGCGGTATGGCAGCTGAAGAAGCACTATTGTGCGGCGCACCTACAGATAGATGTGCCTAGAGACCTCGTGAGGGTGTGTCGACCCAGGTCCCAGCATTTTTACAGCTGCATCATCTCTCACATCACCGGCACTCTTCCGCCGGCCGAAGCGAGATGCAGCACCTCTAATGGGGGGCCAACCTAACCCAAGGCGACGACCCCAGGAGCCCAGGGCCCCAGGGGCCATCTCCTGCCCGCCAGCTCGGTCTCCGGTTCCAATTGCCAGAAGACACTTCGCCCATGTGTTCTTGTGTCCGCGGGTGCGCAGTAAGGTATGTGTCCCCCAGTGCTCTGGAATCGAAACAGGGCTGTCCGAGTAGTGTAAGCCATCCGCCCCCCAAAGATGCAATGCAACACACCCGACGAGGTCGGCTCTCCGACACTGAGCGGACGTAGGAATACAGGTGAGATACTGTAAGCCCTGGCAAGTCTTGTCGAAGCAAGGCCTCCCGGGGATGCGACTTACACCCTTCCGCCACGGCTAGCGCAGGCAAAAGTTGAGACACCGAAGCAGGCAGAAGAAGATGCGAGATTCCAGTTTCCCCGATTATGACAAAGGGCAAATCGAGGATCCTGAGGATTTCGTTCAACTTGGGCTCATGACCTATCATTCCACCACACGGTATGATACGTACACGTGCCGGTTCCTTCTCTCGTAATAAAGTCGGCTGTAGGATTTTTTTCATCCATTAGCGCCTCGGTACCGAAAGAAGTAAACGGAAGAAAGAAGATGACAAAAAAGAAGGTACCTTGCTCCAGAAGTCCCAGAAGGCAAGAACTATGGCCCATCAAACCTGCAGCGGGTGGACCAAGAACCGGAGTCCGGGTCCGAGTAACTGGCGAGCCTTCTTCCTTCCCGTCCAGTGACAATCGACATGAATAAGCTGACAGGGTCCTTTAAAGGCGGTGACGAATGAGGCAATCGGGGGTCATGCCAGTTCCCCCATTTCCACCCCAAAAACGCCTTTTGTTTTTTTTATTCGTTTTTTTCCTTCCTGCGAGCAAATACGTAATCCCGAGGTTTGGCAGGGACCTCCCTCGGTGATAGGAGCAAGGGCCATTGATCAGACCGGATGATCAATGATAACAATGCAACCCGCAACGGCAGTGTAATTTGATGTTGTGTGTGCCATGTGGTGGCTTGAGCTTCCACCTCCTTCCAAGTTCCGAGATCCATGGATGCATTTCCCCAATCGACGACCCCTCCGCCCTCGGTGACCGAACCTCCTCAACGTTGCACGGCTCCGAGATGCAATTTAACGCCGAGCTTGCTGCGGTTTTATTCTCTGTCGTTTGTCAAATTGTCTATCTGCGGAGGTTTCGTATAACTGGTGAGACGTTCGAAGCAGGCATCAGCAACTAAGGTGAAGTCAAAATGCCGGATCCGAGGCGAGATACGTGGTCTTGTTCGGTGATAAAAAAAAAAGGCTTCTTGAAAATCTCGTGGGTTGGGGCACTTTTTTTTTCCTCCACAGTGCCCAGAAAAAAATGAGTGGCATGCCGAGGCTCGCATCCATCTCCCGACAATTGTGAGCCAATCGCCTCACTCTAAAATGTCATCTCGGGCCGTTCAAGGCTTTCGTTCATCATATCATGCCTGCCATCGTCTTGGCTGAGCCCGCGGAATATCTACCTGAGAATAGAAACAATGGCAGAGCGTGCGTCAGGTGACCCATTGTCCTTCGAGAAGGTCTCGGGTACTAATGTAGCGTGGTAGCTTGGCAAAGTTTGTGTCATTATCAACTAGGTAAATGGGTATCTGCATCTAGTCCGCCCGTAATCATGAAAGGGGTATACGCATTCAAAGAAGTATCCGTCGTACGAGTCATAAAGAAAAAGCCCGAGGCCTGCTGACGACCGTATGCTAGCCTCGTTCCTTCGTTCCGTCGTATCAAGCGTCGGGGTCGCTGTCCCAGTTGTTGAGTGAAGCGTTGAAGTCAACCTTCATTTCCATCATTGCGTCTCTCGCAAGGCATACCACAATGGCGATGGTAATGGCATTCCAAACTGCCTGATAGTTTTTGCTGAGGCCAACCTCGACCTGGTAACTGACATAGGCCTTGTCTCCTTCTTTCGCGGAGTCAATGGTAAGTACCATGACAGATGTGTTGACGATGAAAAGTCCATATATCACGGGCGGCCGGCGGGTGTACTGTTCTTCCTGCCCATGTGAAGACCGACTTGCTGGACTGAGGAGGTTCCGGTCCGCTATCTTGTCCTGCTGGTTATCGTCGTATTTGGTTCCGTTGCTAGGAGAAGTCGAGCGGCGTAATGCGCGAGGTTTCTTTGGCGACGGCGTCTGATACTTGTCGGGCACGAGGACAACCCTATTGTCCTCGATTTCGGCATCATCATCCTCGTCTTCGCGATAGTCAGGATTCGCTAGATCATTCTCCCAATAAGCGCGATGGGTAGCAGCAGCCGCCTTGAGACGTAACTGCATGTGCTCCTCAATGGCTTGAGGTGACATTTTTGTGTCCACCATGTCGATGACGAGATTCGGCAGATACTCGAGACTGTTGTATCCCCCGTCTTGTTCGGCCCATTTCGCATATTCGTGGAGTTCCTTCTCGATGAGAGCGCGTGCTCTGTGTCTTTGGCGTGACTGGCACAAGCCTCGCACATGCGCCGTCAGCTCAATGAGCCGAGCGAGTGCTCTCGTCGCTACATACTGTTAGCCGTCAACCTTCCTAAATTCTCTTGATTTTGGATCCTCACCCTTGAAGTCATTTCCGCTTCTCGAGTTGATGACGGGTGGGTGGGCATCAGAGCTTGCGAAGAGAACATCCGGGATGGGGATTCCTCGAAAGTCCATATCCCAATGTGACGGTAGTAGAGGACTGTACTGCCTCATGTACAGAATTTGGAAGAGTCTGTTCTCTTCGTCTGTCCAGTCGTCGCTGCCCGGGAATAGCTTCCTTTCCTCGTCCATCTCGTCCAGCTGCCGCCTCTCCTCGTCCTTTTCTTTTTCGCTCAAGACATCCTCTTTTCTCTTAGTAACTTTGCGCGGTGTCTTTTTGACACGGCCGGACAAAATTTTGTCTGATCCCGGTGTGCCGTCTCTGCCAGCACTCGTGCTCGTCGGCGGAGTTTCGGTGAGCGGTGTGGCGCTAAGACGACTGCGAGCAAGTGGTCTGTTTATTTGCGGAGTGCGTGCCGGTGAGGCACTCCCCACAGATTCTGATGATTGTCGGTTCATGGCAAAGAAGAATGCGATGATGTTGATTGCGCGCGATTTGAAGCAGTGAGATTCAGCTATCACTTTGCCAATTTTGTGGCGGGAATCGAAGTTGGATAGACTTCAACGATTGGTGGCGCTGCGAGAGTTGCGCGCTTTTTGTCAGCTCACGAAGGTGCTGTGTGAAAATGGCAGTTGCGAATATACATCTCTTTATCAAGTCAATTCTCATTGTTTCTTCATCTGGAGACTTCTATTTTGACTACCTACTTGCAGTGACTCGGCGAATACGCAGGAAGCAAGGAGATGGCCGCCCCTCGAGTCGCATTGACCGTGAATTTCGAGGAAGGCAGCAAGGTCCTGACTATTGTATTGTCTGTGACGGATGCGGCGACCCAACAAACAAAGCCGTTGATGTCCTCTGTTTAAAGTCGATGGCGACGCGGTGAGACAATGGCAACTGAGACAAAAGCCGCGCTTGCTGCAGGCGCTCTCAAGGTAAGGCAGGCAGCACTTGCCTGACAAGGTGTAAGTGTAAAGGCCCGTGCTCTTTCTTTCCTCTCGTGTCGTCCAATATTTTTTGGCTGTAAACCACGTGACTGATCTCCCGGCAGATAACCGGCCTAGCGAGAACTTGTGGGTCTGCTGGCAGAAATGACATCTTTCCCAGACGGGATCGATCACTAAAGGTGGGAAGGAACCCCTGCACTAGTGACTTCCCTGCTTTGTTAGCGTGCCTGCTTACAGTGGAGAGGCTCTGGTTTGCATGACGGGGCAATTTTTCAGGTCGCGACGACGCGCCTCAGAACAATCAAGTGCCTTCACCTAGGCCCATCACATTCACGTCCTGCAACTACAACCCGAATGGGCCAACATCGCTTTTCTCCACCATACGAATTTCATCTTACCAACGTTGAGCGCACCCCCCAACATACGCGCCTGCTATACCAACATTTCTACGAGTAGTCTAGCTATGCGCCAGCTTTTGCGCCGAACCAGCAGTTATTCATCATGAATTGGAGCAAGCAAACCGTCGTTCAACTCAAGGCGGAATTGAAACGCCGAGGGCTCGCCACCGCAGGTCTCAAACAGGAGCTCGTCGAGCGACTGACCACTAGCGACGAGGCCGCAGAGGAAGAGGTGCAGGAAGATGTGCAGGAAGAGGCACAGGAAGAAGAAGAGGCTTCCCCAGAGCCAGAGCCCCAACCCGCCGAGCCTGCTGAAGCGCTCACCGAACCTGCTCCCATTAACACCACCGCCGAAGATGTTGCCGATACTGAGAATACAATTGCGCAAGCAGTGGTGGCAAGCTCCGAACCCAAGATGGAGCAATCGGCACTCAAGCCCGCCACCCAAGATACGGAGACAACCATTCCGGAATCAATCGCCGCCGCGAACCCTACGCCTCCTGCCCCCGCTGAGATGGCGCAAGATGCGCAGAAACGAAAGCGCCGATCCCAGAGCCCTGCCGAATCGTCAGAGTCGATTACTCGCAAGCGCATTAAAGCAGACCAAGGCCGTATCGAGGCAGACAAAGCAGACGAGGCACCAAGCTCAGAGTCAACCAGCGTTGCTGGTGTCATAAACCAAATCAAGGAAGGTGTGAAGGATGTCTTGAAGGAGAGCCTGGAGGGAGGTAGCGGTCTTCTTGAGGATGTTGCGAAGGAGGCAAAGGACACTTCGAAAGACGTTGAAGAGCTCGCGGAGAGCCACCCTATTGAACAGGACCTGCCGACGACAGAAGCAAACGCCGAAGAAGACACGGAGATGCAGGATGAGCTTAACGGAAAGGTGGACGCAGTCTCTGCCGCCGATCCTGAACACCGACAGGCTTCAGTTCACGGCCAAGAGCACCCCACGGACGGTCCGGTCACTGATCAGGAGCGACACGAGATTGCGCCAGCAGACGACAATGACGCCATGGAGTACGAAAGAACGGTGCAGCCAGCTATCCACCCTGCTACCAGGGCTCTCTACATCAAGAACTTGATGAGACCACTGAAGGAGTCTACAGTTCATGACCGTCTTGTTGAGCTATCAACTCCTTCTGGCGCAGAACCCAACTCAGACGATGTCGAGGACGTATACCTGGATTCCATCAAATCTCATGCGTTCGCAGTGTTCAGAACTACGACTCTGGCTTCGCGTGTCCGGAACGCGTTGCATGACGTCACCTGGCCAGATGAAAGCAACCGCAAGCCACTTTCGGTGGACTTTGTGCCACCAGAAAAAGTGAGGGATTGGATTCACGAGGAGGAGGCCGAAGGAAAATCCAACAGGAGCGCTCGATTCGCAGTGCGTTACGACATCGAAGACGACGGATATGTCACCGCTCGCCTGGTCTCTGGTAATGGCGTAGCATCGGCTGAGCCAACTAGGGGTGCACCTGCAGGCCCAGCTGTTAAGGACGTCAATGCCATTCCTCTCGGCCCTCGTGGCGGTCGAGGATTTGAAGGAGCTCCCCTAGGCCCCAGAGGAGACTCCCAGCGTGGTCCTGGTTCTAGACCTCCACGACTGATAGAAAACTTTCCCGGGGGCCCTGTACAAACCACGCGAGCCCACCCTCCGGTATCTTTCCAGGCCGTCTCGGATGATCTTGTCAGCAGACGACTGCGAAATATGCGTTCTTACTACACCAAAGATATCGATAGGGACATGGGCCCGGAGACTGAGATCAACCGCTACATCTTCGAAGAGGGCGACAAGTTTGTTGACCGTGGCCACGAGAACTTTGTCGGCATCCGACCCCCGCACAGAGAGGCTGAGCGTCGTCGACAAATGGCCGGCGGAGGGCCGCCGCCGAGGGGGCCACCTCCTCCAGGCCGTGGTGGTAGACGGAGTGGTGGCAACGGCCGTCGCGGCCCCCGCATGGTCAGCGACAGGTATCTGCCGGGCATTAATGAGAGCGGCCCCTATCGCCAGGGCGACCGTGGAAACTTTGGTGGTTCTCGTCCTGACGGTGGCCGCCGTTTCCGTTCCGACGACCGTGGCAGCCGGTACTAGGAGCCCAAATCATCTCTTCAGAGTGATCGGTTGGCTGCTTCGGCTTCCATCATGCCTATGGCTGCGTCCCAAACGCCTTCCACGACCACGTCTAGGCTTCCAGTGGGTTTGCCTAGCAATCTCGAATCCAACCGACGGCAACTTCACAAGCCTGGATGCCCCAACTATTCGGAATCAGACTACTGCAATTGTCCGTGGCGTGTCGATAATCCCAGCGATCCCCAAAACCAGATTACGGACCACTTCCCGCATTGCCGCAACGCCGCTGGCCATGGTTTATGCTTTTGTCCCCTGCGCACTCGCCCTCTGACGCCTCCGTTGGTCTTTCCAGGCGGAACAGGGTATTCTTCGCCTTCGGGGCCATCGACAGTGGCGACACCACCCCCAGCATGGGAACCCGCGTAGAAGAGGCGACTCGGGGTGTTGGTAAAGGAGGATGATCCTGAGGTCGACGACATTCGTGAAGAGGTTTGGATACAGCAGGCTACCGAGGCGCTGGAACGATTACTTCGAGACTCCCCAACTTTACGATGATTTCGTGAAGGGTACTCCTCCTATCCTGCTCTTCTCAGAGTCAACCAGAAGATCATGGCAAGCATTCAAGACGAAAAGCGAAGACGGAAATGGGGTACTTCTTACGGAGCATAACAACCCAAACTGCGGGTGGGGTGCGGAAAGAATCACACACAAAAGATAGATCAGGTCTAGACTGTATTATTCTCTTCTTCTTCTTCTTTCCCCAATGACGGTTCGGATTCATAGAGAGACGTGGGGACAGGCACATAACTCCACGTTGCGATACCAGTAGCTAATTGAAGAAGCTTCCTGAAAACTGTAAATGCTCCCACTGTCTTGATGCTCGTGATCCATGGCGATCCTGACACTCAACGAAGAGAATTTACATCGACTCGTCTGCAATCAGGAAGGAGGTCCTCTATGAAAGCAACTCTTGGAACGTAAGAACTATGGAAGTGTCTTCGACAGAGTCGAGCTACAAAACTTCCAGGTTCGGTCTTGGAAAGAAACGCAGTTGACAACGAATCAAATAAAGAAAGAGAGTCCTTGGTTGATGATGCCTCGAAAGCCGTGTCTCCGTTTGAATATACTCCGTGTCCCCAGACTAAAAGAGAGGGCACCGAAAAGAGTAAGGGATCCTGAATTACTACGAGAACTCAATGTGAAGTGACCCCATGACCGACCCTCGGTGACAAACTGTTTCTTCCACCCTTTTGTCCAGTCAACCTCCCTTGGCAATGTCCCGCCCACCTCAAGCAGCCCATATGGTTGCTTTCGTCCTTGGCTTTACTGGCCTCCTTTACGCTTCCGGTTTTGATTTCCATCAACCCCGTTCACCCTGAAGATTTGGTTCACAGCCCATCTCAAGAGCTCCTTGTATGTCGCGGGTCTGGAGCCATCATCTTCGGGCTCATGGTGAGAGTGGTACGCCTTGTAGGCCGGCCTATCATATCATGAGCCATTCGGTCCACGTTTCTTTCGTCACTATTGGCGATGTTCTTACCAGGCGACTTCGTCAAAGTATTCCTCAGTGAGGTCCTCTGCGACAAAGCGAGGCTTACCTTGATACTAACTGTACTGCTCCTGCCGATCTAATGCCCACGTTCTTGCAGTTCGTTCTGAAACGTTGGGACACAAGTTGAGGTCAATCATATTTCGTAAAGCTTCCTAGGCTTTCTGTTGTGCATCGCTGCCGAACATTCCAAATCCCGACTGTTGAGGCGGCAAGGCTGTGGGGCAAACAGCGTTCACGAGGGGGCCTTCGATCAGTATCAGCTGTGACGGCAAGGATGTCGAATTCTCTAAATTGTCCGGGCAGTCTGTGAGTGTCTTGTAGCAAAATTGAGCTAGCCAGAAGCTCTGACGACCTGATTTGGCCGCAGTGGAGAGAGTGGCCTCCCTTTGACGAACAAGGTCAGTGACATCCCCCGCTCTCAGATGCGGCACGCGAATATGGCGACCCTTTGCAGTGGCACATGTCTCCCTTATTTGATCTGACTGGGAACTATAGTTGCCTGCTTTCAACTTAGTGACATCTTTGATCATGTCTTCCCAGTCAACTGAGAATAAGCAGTTTGTGTGAACAACACGCTTTCCACTCCGCAGAGTTATTTGTGGACAATCTGCAGAAGGGAGGACATAGGCGTCTTGCGAAATTGTAAAGACTCTGCTGTTCTGCCCAAGCTTTTTGAACACGTAGCTAAGGTGCAAGGCTAGTGTTGACTTGCCGCTCGAAGGGCTGCCGCCGATACCGATGATGTAGGTTGGAATGTGAGAAGCCTGTCCTTCAATTGCAGTATCTTCGCTCGATGCAAGATGTATACGCGGAGGCGGTGGTGGGGAGGCAGATTCTAAGCTTGACTGGGGAAAGTAAAACACCGGTAGAGAAGACGACTCCGATGGCGAGATGTTTCGATAGGCGCCCACCCACTTGAAGAACAGTCCCCAATTGAGTCCAGTGACATTGGAGCTCTGCGCCGAATTCCCATAGTACAAAGGCGCTTGAAGGAAGAGTTTAGGGGGAAACACGCCTTCGCTGTGAAGAGGCATATGTGCCGACAATATGGGCGACTCGACTGGTCTTTGCCCTTGGTACGAGGCGTCAGCAGCGCCGAAGTCCGCCTGCTGACCATAGACTGGGTATATCCAGACTTTGAGCAGGGCGTCGATTTCCTTAGACTCTTCTGGCGTGAACAATGGACCCAGCTGCGAAGCGTCGGCAGTGTGAAGGTCCTCCCATTTATCATAGATAAGGTCCGCCCAGTCATCGTAGCTGAGATCATCCATGCGGGTTGACGCCGAAGAGTTGTCCTTTGGTTGAATCTCGATTTCTGATGTTGTCATTACGGATACGGGGAAAGGTATGGAAAGGTATAAGGCGTTGAGAAAGACTAAGAAAGGCGGAGGGGTAGCTGTGCGTTCAATGCGTTTGTATGTATGTGCCATAGTGGTATGGAAATGGATTGCATCCTGAGATCTGAACAACATCCGTCGATGACTAGGCTGGCCATCGCTCTTGCAGCCATTTCTGCTGCTTCGGACTGCACAATAGCCCTGTCTGCACCTCTTTTCGTTTCCTCCTTCCACTTCGTAAAGTGATTTTTTCCAGTTGGTACCTACCACCGTAGTGGTACTCCTCATTGGCTGCTGCTTGTTTAGCTTTCTATCACACAAGAAGGAACTGGGGAAGAATGATGTTTCCATATCATGAATCTTTTCAGGTTTCAATATAGGAAAGTAGCTTTCTCAGAGCTGCTATGAACTGTGTAAGAAAAAGACGAAGGAATCATCGAATCCCACTTGATGTGTATGCCCAAGGTCCAAATAGACCCCAAATCAACTGCCGCGATACCCATAACTACAAGACAAAAATCCAGAAACCCCATTTTGCACCAGAACACAGTAACCCCCATTCGCACCACACATTACGGATTCAATTAAGCAGCCGCGGCGAGGGTGGTGGGCTCGACACCGACACGCTCCCTGCTGAGGATGTCAAGCATGAGCTGAGTGGGGCGGTTGTCCTTGAAGATCTTCTCGCTGTCCTTGAACATCTGAACGTTCTCGAGGTACTTGTCAAAGAGGTAGGAGCTGTCCATCGGGCCACCCTTAGCCTCGGGGTGGAACTGGGTGGAGAAGATGGGGCGGGTCTTGTGCATCATGCCCTCGTTGGAGCCGTCGTTAAGGTTGACAAAGTACTCCTTGAAGTCGCTGGGGAGGGTGGAGGAGTCGACGGCGTAACCGTGGTTCTGGCTGGTGATGTGGCACTGGCCGGTAGTCAAGTCGAGGGCGGGGATGTTGTGGGCACGGTTGCCGTACTTGAGCTTGATGGTGCGGGCACCGACGGCCAGGGCGAGGAGCTGGTGGCCGAGGCAAATTCCCATGATGGGGACGGGGGAGGTCTCCATGAGGCGGCCAAGGTTGTAGATGGTCTCCTGGCAGTGAGTCGGGTCACCGGGGCCGTTGGAGATGAAGACACCGTCAAAGTTGCTGGCAACCTTGTGGATGGGGTAGTTGTAGGGGAAGACGGTGACGGAGGCGCCACGGCTGACCAAGCTGCGAAGGATGTTCTCCTTGACACCGCAGTCGATCAGGGCAACGTGGAAGCGGGCGCCAGGGGACTCGACAACGAAGGGGGCCTTGGTGCTGACACGCTTGACCAAGTTGATGGCACCGGGGTCGATGAAGCTCTCGTCCTCGTCGGCGTCGTACTCATCACCAATGGTGATCCTAGCGAGGGAGGAACCCTGCTCACGGAGGTAGGTGACGATCTCACGAGTGTCGACGCCAGAGATGGCCGGGACACCCTCACGGGCGCACCAGTTGCCCAAGCTCTCAACGGCGGTCCAGTGGCTGTACTCGGTGGCAACGTCGGCGACGACGACGCCGGCACACTGGATGTGAGGGGACTCGAAGTACTTGAGGAGGTTCCACTCATCACGCTGGTTGGAAGGCACACCGTAGTTGCCAATCAGGGGCTGGGTGAAGACCAGAATCTGGCCACGGTAGGAGGGGTCGGTCATGGACTCGGGGTATCCGACCAAGGAGGTAGTGAAGACGGCCTCGCCAGAGATGTTGGAGTTTGCTCCAAAGGCTCGGCCGGAGAAGACAGGGCCATCCTACAGGAATTGTTAGCAAGCTTGTTTCTATCATCTTTAAGTAGGAAGATATCTCTAGACGGTGACATACTCGGATGGTCAAGGTGGCGTCGAGGTTAGCGACGGGGTTGGTGGCACGGGTCTGGGTGAAGGGCATCTTGCGGCCCTTGCTACCAGCGGCTTGGCCGGAGAGGAATCGGGTCTGAACTCGGAGGCCGGAGCTCAACCCGGCGGCACCGTTGGCCGCGGGCTTGGTGAGGGAAGCCAATCGGGAGAACATGTTGGCTTTGGTTTAAGTAGAGGTGTTGTAGAAGAAGTTGCTTGTGGTTTGGATAGACACCTTAGGGGCTGGCAGCCTTCCACAAGTGGTCTGTTGGGGGTTGGGAAACATGGTCAGTCTCGCGTGCCACATTGGAGGGGCGGTGAGTCAATCGAGGATATTATGCTAACCTGAGAGATAATCCTGAAGATAGCGAGTCAGCAACCGAAATTTAGCAATATTAATGATTGAAAAGAAGCAATGCGTCTTCAGTGCAAGCGGACTAGACACCAGAGAGCTTCAATTGGGCTATGGGCACCAGCTTGAGACAGAGTTTGGCGGCGGGGTTGAGAGGTATCACGAAGAGCGTGAGCTCAGACAAACCACCAAGGAAAGATTCGGCAAGAGGAAAGAAATGAAAATCATCGACATACCTGAGAGGTGAAGACTGAAGGACGCCCGTTCATAAGGGCAGCTTGCAAATGGTCAATCAGTAGAAGAAGGGTAGTGAAGTGCTCGAGGCGAGGCTGTGGAGGGATGATGGCTGGATATAATCTGTGACGAGAATGTTGCACGATGCGGCAGGATTTTTGGATCTGGAGGAGAGAAAAGGGAAAGAAAAAAAGAGAAGGGAAGCAGCGGTGGGAGGAGATCGGGTAGAAAAATAGGAAGCACGAGCGCCGGCACACGGAGTCACACAGATGGAGCGCAGTAGGTACCTCAGCAAACGGGGCCTCTTCTCCTCCTCCTCCTCTTCCTCCACCTCCACCACCGCTCACCCCATCCAAGTTGCAGTCCCAGTCCCAGTCCCAGTCACCCAGTTCCCAGGTATTCAACGTCAGGTCAAGGTCAACCTGGTAGGTCACAGCCAGCAGCAGCACTTGGGTTGGGCCGGGCAAATTTTTTTGGGGAGCTTGTCATTGGACCCTTTGGGGAAAGATCGGTCGCTGATTAGCTAGTCAACCAGTGAAGGGGGGTCAACGGGCTCCCCGTTGTGAGGATGCCTGCAGGGGAAACTCTCGCCGCACCAAGCTTGGGCTGTCACCAAAGCACCGGGCGGACACTGACAGCCGGCAGGTAAACCGCAGGGTAAGGTACCTACCTCCCCGCCCCAGCACAAGGGCGCCCGCCCGCCCGCCGATGTCGTCCCTTATCGCGGGGCTTTACATAATTCGCCCAGCCTTTTAGCAATTCCGCCCTTTAATCACTTTGCCCCTGGTCCTTATCAGCCCTGCTGAAGCCGAATTGGACTGGTCCTATCCGTACTCTTGGACAATTACATCACCGCCCGCCGCGCTTTGTACCTTTGTACGAAAATACTCTGTTCACAACTTCAGCACTACAAAAATTCTACGCCGTGCCATTGAGCCGGCATTGGGCTGCGGAAAGACGCTTTCGATCCAGGGATCGCCTTTGCAGCTACCCGGTGGGCTAAAGGTTCCAATGCTTCATTCTCCCAAAAATTGACGCAATATCAGAGTTGGTGGGCTCTTTCTCGTCTTGCTTTTCTCTCGCGCCCTCCCCATCCCGCCGCCGGGTTCGGAGCCCCACTTTCAGCTAGAGGTGACTGTCCCACTGGATGAGTTAAAAACTGCTGACATTGCATACCGCAGACAGCCCTGGGTTTCCCTGCATAAACCGCCTAGATGCAAATGCATCCAACCATCCACCTACGCAGTAATTCACCTCTCCTCGGTTGGGCTAGAACAACTGAACAACTCTTCCTGCCTCATCCAACGGAACGGGGCTGTCAAACGGGGACGCGCATTGGCGGCTGGCCTATCGCAAGCTATCGGGTCCTCCCTTGCCAACCAAAAACGGAAACCGTCGATTAGAGTCCCTTTCAACCCTTTCTCCCGGGATCCTGCAGTCTACACCGACTCGAGCCCGCCTTCCCGCGTCCCTTTTTGTTCCTGTCTAGACTCTTAGAGGGGCGCGCGTTGGGAACTTTGAAAGAAGACAGATGCAGGACCTTGCAGCACCCATCTGCTCGGAAACCCCGGCTCACTCAAGGCGGTCTGCCTCTCTCAACCAATGACTTTCTTACAACACGATTCCGAGCACGTGGCCACACAACCACGCGAACAACGCGCAGCAGGCCATCATGGTCGGGGCTTTCGTGTACTTGCCGTCTTTTCTTTTTCCGCCTCTTTGTCTCATTCGTCTTTTGTGTTTAAGCTTGCGAGATTCTGCGGAATGCTACATCGACTTCGAAGTCGACATGTGGTCTCACCGTGTCAGCAGCTATGCAGTAGAACACGCTTGGTTACATACATGCCAAGAATGCGGTCGAGAACTTTGGCTTTTGACCCCTCATCTCGTGTTCAGAACTCAGGAGTTTCTCATTGAGCCGTCGCCGACAAACGTCAAGTCAGCATTGTGGACAGAAAGACCAACGTTCGCGGCAGAGTCATGTCATTCTCACACCGCGTTTGATGAGACTCTTTAAACTCTGTGTGAAGCCATCAAAGTGGAGACGGACGCTTCGCCTTCTAGTGACCTTGTAAGAGCGTTGCAGTGGACGCTACAAGTAGTAGTCAAGATGAGATAGCCTCGCAGCAGAACAGAGACTGCTTCAGTTTCGTTGCTGCGAGCTGATGACCTTGTGCTGAAATCAGCTTGAAGTCACTGAAGACCGTGATGGAGACGTTGCCGAGATGTTATCCATCAAATCTCATACCCTTCATCTATAAGCTTCGTCAAGTCATACATCAAGTGATGGTCCCCCCTTGATAAACGGAAAAAACTCCAACGCCAACCATTCTGCTCTCTTCCGCCCTCTTCACTCAGAGTATATACAACCTCACCCTCCTCCCCGTCCCCTCAGCCTCAGCCTCCTCCACCATTCTCCGATTCGCCCTCCCAAGCGACCACCTCATCCAAAACACCGTCCCGATACACATGACGGAAAACATCATCATTAGCAAAAAAGCAAGCAAATACCTCGGATTATCCGCCGGCCTGAAAAAATACGGGCTCCAAATATTCCCAACCTGCGCCAACAAACACACAATCGACGTCGCCGTGGCCCTCTTCTCGGGCGTCTCGCTCGCCACGCTCGCCGCCCAGCTGAAAATCAACCCCGTCGACGCGAAGGCGCCGGGCAGGTACAGGAAGCTGGCAAAGTACCTCACGGGCCGGTTCGTCGTCGCCGCCGAGATGACGAAGCCAAGCATGGCCACGCAGACGGGGCCGACGATGTGGAGACCCCTGTCGGCGCGGCGGTCCGAGGAGACGGCGACGCAGAGGGCGACGACCGCGGCGAGGAGGTAGGGGGGCGCGGTGAGCATTAGGGTCGTCGTGTTGGAGCCTAGGTGGAAGCCCTGGACGATTGTCGGGAAGAAGCTGTTGAGGCCGTGGGAGGAGAGGTAGAAGGCCATCATGCAGACCTGCACCATTCAAGTCAGTCGACCGCGTTTTTCTTCAACTTTACGCTTTTCAGGGGAAGCTGCACTCTATCAAACAGGGGCAAGAGAAAAGAGAAGGAAAAAAGGGGGTAGAGTCCAACAAAAACTCACAAAAGCCCACGTCCTCGTGTCCCCAACAGCAAGCCCCAACCCCCTCCACACACTCGACGTCTCCTCGGGCACCGAAACCCGATCGGCCGCCATTCTCTGCGCCGCGACTTGCAGCTCTCGTTCCGACATGAGCCACGAGCACATACCCGTCCGGGACCCGACGTAATCCGGCAGGAACGCCAGCGCGGCGAACGCGGACGCGAAGCTGCCGGCCCCTTCAATGATGAAGAGCCACTGCCAGCCCGCGAGCCCGCGCGCGCCGTCGAGGTGCGCAAAGACGGCGGCAGCGATGAGACCCGAGAAGGCGGTCGCGACGAGCATGCCCGAGTAGAGGATTGCTGTGCGGAAGGCGATTTCTTTCTGGGTGTACCAGCAGGAGAGGACGTAGAAGATCTGGCCATCATGCAGGGTGGTTTAGCAGAAGTCAAGGAGTCTTCACGAACTGAAGGAGAACTCCAGTCTGAACTACCCGTGAAGTGATTTTTTCACAAGAAGAGCAGAGGGCAGAAGATAGTGTCACTTACCCCTGGGAAGAACGGCGCCTCGACAATACCCAGGATCACTCTGATAGCGACTAGACTCGAAAAGCTCTTTGCCGCGGCCGTTGAGGCCGACACACACGACCACAGGAGCACGCAGCACGGGAGGTATATGCTCGGACGCACGCGGGTGATGAGCATGTTGGACGGCAACTGGGCGACCATGTACCTGAAAACGCCAAGACGCAAAGGGGTCAGCGACGATCCCAAACACACGGAGAGAGAGAGAGTCTCGGCACAAGACCCAAAGGAAAGACTCACCCGACGTTGAATATAGCCACGGCGGTGTTGAACTGCTCCCCCACAAGCCCAAGATCCGCCTCAAACTTGTCCAACTTGGCTTGCCTGTACCGAGAACCACCATCGTATGTCAGCCTCCGTACGGAAACTCCCCCTCGTGCTGCCACGGAACATGCGGGCAAATGACCCCCCCCCCTTCCTCCAATATCTAAGCGAACCACGGGGGAAAGGAGACAGCAAAACGTACGCGAGATTATTCCTGTCGAGGTAATTGAACATGTACAGCGTCCAAATCACCGGCATAAGCGTCACATCCAGCTTCCGCACCAGCCTCTTCTCCGCCGCGCGCCACTCGGGGTGTGCCATGGCCACTTCGTCGGGGGCCTCGAGGACGAGTTGCGGGGATGATGGAGACGCCGGCGACGATGAGGCGGAAGGCAGCGGACCCTTTTCGATCGTGTCGACCGAGACCTCCTCTTCACTCGCAGAGGTAATTTTACCCATGTTGACGGACGTCAAATTCTTCCAGGCTACGATTGTCAGCGCGAACGATTAGAAATCGATGGTTAAGAAGGGGGTTCAGAATGCGAGGTGAAGATGAACCGTTGACCAGAGGGTCTGATGGTGGGTGTGGTAGCTTTTGTCTTTTGATATATCGAGTCAAACCGGGCTGGCGTCGCCTCGCTTTCGGACATTGACATGACCTAGATGGTAAAAGCCAGAAGGTTTATATTTCTTCCCCTCTTTCCCTCGTCCGCTTCCACATTCAATCCTCCATCATTCACATGGCAGCACATGGGAAATGGCTCAAAACAAGCAGAACAAGCAAGACATCAATAAGCCGAAAAACCTTAGCTCCCGATAACGAGCTTGGCTTCCAGGTTTTGCCCGTTGTCACTGGTATGGTCGAGTCTCGGCATGTCGCCTTGAACAAGAGTGTTCTCACCACATTGGGCGGGGGTGGACGGGAATGCCCATCACCAACGTTCCAGACTCCAAAGTCAAAATCAAACCGTGATCCGCCGCTAACTCCCGGGAGCCCGAGATGCTTAAATTTTCTCAGCAACCAAGGTAAGGTATGCAAACTACTAAACTCTATAACGCGTCGCGGCTGTGACGTTGGGAGGGGTTTGGGGGGTTACGAATGGTCAGTCATTTACGAAAGCTTGGACTCAAGCTTGTAGGAAAGTCTATTCGTCCAATATCGTCTACCGTGGTATGGACGAGCGTGTGATCGGACGGAGACTTGTTTGACTCGGCCGATGCGCTTCCGTGAGGGGGTATGATAAGGAACGGACCCTCAAAATTATGGTTTTCATTTGTTGCTTTCTCTCACGGAGAGAGAATGGCTACTGTGATGTACAACATGATGGACGGGCTCTCCTGCCGTGTGGTTCGGAAAAGACAAGAAATGTATTTGTGATACCAAGCGCGTGAGTACCTACACTTAAAGTAGTTGCATCACAAGTCACCTATAGCTGACGAAGAAATACGGGATCAATGTTAGACATGTGATATCGAAACACTTTGCTCGAGACCGAATCCATTGCACCAGTACATCTCAAGGTAACATGCCGTACATAAATCGCCCACTTCACCCTTTGGCATCTCCACGCCATCTGGCGAAGCTCAGTGAGCCGCGGGGAATCAAAGACCACTCCGCTCATTGCTTCTTCTACACACACACACATCTCCGACCTCATTACAAACGAGCAAAATCGCCGCAACGGCTCCGAGGTTCTGGAAACAAAAGCACCAAGACCAGACAGAACCGACTTCGGCGCTCGTCCGTACACGGTACACAGTATCCGTCGTCAAAGTAGTGAATCAACAGTGTATCTATTATTCAGTAAGAAGCCCAGCAAACAAGACGGGAATAAGCCAAACCCCCTCGACCCCGCAAGAACACGAGGCTCTCTGAATGGTCAGTCGTGGAAATAGACCATTCCCAGAAACCCGTTGCCGTCTCCCGAAATGTCCGAATGGCGAAGTTGACCCTCAATTTTACAATGGATATTCGTTGAAGAGAAGAGGAAGCCACATGAATGTGGGGATGGAAATAATCCAACGCAACGCTAGCCTGGGTAACTAACTACATCCACGGCAGTTGCGTCATGAAGGAGTCAAGATCGGGCTAGAAAATCCCCGGATATAAAGCATTTCGGCGCGTCTTGGCGGGGTTTCCTCGGACTTTGATCCTCTTTCCTCTTTCCGTGGCAGTCTTCATTCAAGTACATGTTCAATCCTCGTTTATTTGTTAAATTATTTTGAAGCACTGGCCCAGAGATTAAGATCCATTTGACCCCCCTCGCGGAGAATTTGTTCAGCTCGCTCTTCAGAACAAAATGACAACCAGCAACGATAGCTCCTCAACCCCAGTCTCGGCAGCAACAAAGCTGCGGCAACGCCTCAGCGAGACGAACGACCTGATCCTCCTACCAGGCGTCTACGATGGCTTCAGCGCCAGAATCGCACTCGAAGTCGGCTTTGACGGTCTCTACATGGTAAAAGCCCACCAACACACATTCCCACTCAGCATCTCACCCTCACTCTCACCCCTTCACTAACACGACAAAAAACCCCAGACCGGCGCAGGAACATCAGCCTCAAAACTAGGCCTCCCAGACCTCGGCTTCGCAACCCTAGACGACATGCGCTCCCACGCCGAAATGCTCGCCAACCTAGACTCATCCGTTCCCCTAGTAGCCGACGCAGACACAGGCTACGGTGGCCCCAACATGGTCGCCCGCACCGTAACTCAGTACGCCCGAAGCGGCGTCGCGGGCCTCCACATCGAAGACCAAGTCCAAACAAAACGCTGCGGCCACCTGACAGGCAAACAAGTCGTCGACACAGACGTCTTCGTCTTCCGCATCAAAGCCGCCACCCTCGCGCGCCGCAAAATCGGCTCCGACATTGTCGTCATCGCCCGCACCGACGCGATTCAGACGCACGGCTTCGACGAGGCGCTGCGCCGGCTCCGGGCGGCCGTCGAGGCGGGCGCAGACGTCGCGTTCCTCGAGGGCGTGACGTCCGCGGAGGAGGCGAGGACGGCGTGTCAGGCTCTCGCGCCGACGCCGGTGCTGCTGAACATGGTCGAGCACGGCGCGACGCCCTCGTGGACGGCCGCGGAGGCCAAGGAGCTGGGGTACCGCATGATGATTGTGCCGTTTGCAGCCATCGCACCGGCGTACGAGGCGATTCGCGAGTCGCTGGCTCGGTTGAAGGAGACGGGCGTGGTCGGGACAAAGTCTGATTTCTCGCCGAGGAAGCTTTTTAGCATTGTTGGGCTGCAGGAGGCGATGGAGTTTGATAAAGCTGCCGGTGGGAGCTCGTATAGCCGGGTGTGATGTCCGAAAGATCGGTGACCACGGGGGACTGGATCTGATGTAGAAAAATTGGACGACGTTCTCTGTGATCCCATATTTATTCCTGTGGAATATACACCCGACCGACCCAGGCTGACTTCTTGCCTTGTGAATCCTTTCCCGATGAGCACCTGCCGTAGGAGTGCTTGCCTCACCTTATATTCAAATCGAGCGCCCTTTTTCTCAACCAAGCCCAATCGAGCCCGGTGGCCGAGCGGTATAGCGCATTGCGACGTTAGGATACGAACTTGGTGAGAAACCCTGAGAAGTCTGTTTCCCCAAGCAGATGGAGGGCTTCGTAGGTGTAGCGTAGTCAGGGTTCGATTCCCGGACCTCGCACCCGAGCTTTTGTTTTTTTGCCCTCTTTGATTGATACTAGGAGATACTGACAGGTTGCGGTGGTGAACTCTGTATGCTATCGGCGTCATTCGTTTGGAGATCGACTTACCTAGACGAGCCGACGCACGTCGCGCGGTTTAATCCCGAATCATCAGCAAACTCAGCATAGCAAACTTTCATGCTGGTCGACCATATCTCGCGTCCCATGTACCTTCGCATTCCGAGATCTATCTCCGAAATGCCTTGCAGTCTGGATTCACTCTCGCCGGTTCCATATGGGCGGCACATTGCGTGCTCGGTTTCACGTCGCTGACCGGACCGTTCCGTTGACTTCCCTGTGGTTTGCAACCATCTTACAAAGTTTGACAACGCAGCGGACGATTACCGTGTAAATTCTACCTTACGCCGAGCTTCTCGACCGAGATGCTAAGGGAAGCAAGGTATATCAGCTTACTTTTCCATCTTAATATGTGATGATTATGTCGCTTATCGTCCTCGCTCGACTTCAAGATGGCAGAAGTCAGCCGATCCAAGCCACACAAGATGGTGTGGCAACAACAAAAAATCTTCATATGATACGCCCAGGCTAGGACCAGGTACTTTGATCTATCGCGATGCAGGACTCTGAGTACCGTGACGGAAGTCTAGTGTTATAGTACAACAACTGCGGTATTAGTATCATGTGCGGCGAGTATAGTACGTTGGATAAGCTGTGCTATGAGATTTCACTGTGGCTCAAAAGTGCATTCGTATTTCGAACACTGCGTTCGCGATAATGTTTGAATATCCGAGGAGCTTGCTTTTGAATCGTTTCTATTGCCAAAAAGGGTCTCTTCGTAATGGTACACGCTATGACACGCCCCTTACAAGGCGCCGAGCTCCTTGAGCTTCGCAACGAGACCGTCAACGTCCTCGACCTTGCCGCCGCCCTGGCGTTGAGGGGGCTCTGTGAAGATTCGTTAGCTCGCAAATTCTCCAGAAGAAAACACAACCAGCCAAACTTCTGTAGCAGATGTGTCGGGAACCAAAGAAGAATAACGCCTCGCCAAAGAGCGCAAAAGGACTCACCAGTAACCTTCAAAACCTTCAACCTCTTCTCCACCCCAATCCCATAGTCGGCCAGCTTCTTCTTCTCGAGCGGCTTCTTCTTAGCCTTCATAATATTCGGCAAGCTCGCGTACCGCGGCTCGTTGAGCCGCAGATCCGTCGTAATCACCATCGGCAACTTCGCCTTGACCGTCTCCACGCCACCATCGACCTCGCGCGTGACGCTCACGCTATCCCCCTCGCCAAACTCCACCACGCTCGCCGACGTAGCCTGCGGCCAGCCCAACAAGCCAGCGAGCATCTGGCCCGTCTGGTTCGCGTCGTCGTCGATGCTCTGCTTGCCGAGGATGACGAGATTGGACTTGTGCTCCTCGGCGGCCTTGCGCAGCAGCTTAGCCACGCTCAAGGGCTCCAGGTCGTCGCCCTCCTTGGTCTCGACGTGGATCGCACGGTCGGCGCCCATGGCCATGGCGGTGCGCAGCACGTCGACGGCCTTGGGGGGTCCCGCCGAGATGACGGTGATGTCCTCGACGCCGCCGGGCGCCCGCTTCTTCTCGCGGATGCGGACCGACTCCTCGACCGAGAGCTCGTCAAAGGGGTTCATGGAGTGTTTGACACCGGCCGTCTCGACGCCCGTCTGGGCCTTGTTGACTCGGGGCTTGACCTAGATTCGCGGAGCCATTGATGTTAGTTACGGACCACAATCACAAGCCAATTTCTGCAGGAGTGCCAATTGCGTGCGGTCGTGGGTAAGAGCTTTGGTAGACGTACAGCATAGTCAATGACCCGCTTCACGGGAACGAGGATTCGTAGGGCGGACATGGTTCGGGCTCTCTCTCGTTGTGCTTCTTCAATGGCCCGGCCTTGATGCGTGGAGAGGGTTGCTTGTGGTACTGCGCAGAGGGGAATTGGAGGGTGTGGTGGGAGCTCGAGGTCTTCAATGGTCAAGGTCCGTGTCGTCACTGGGGAAAATGGGACCTCCGTCGTTAGCGATACCGGCTAACCTCGGGCCACCGCCCCACCGTAAGCCCTTTTCGGTCATTCGAGCGTAGACGCCGACTTGCAGGCTCATAATCCCGAAGCTTCTCATTTTTGGTCGAATTACTCGTTTGGAAGTCCCGCCCTCATATGAAGGCATCTCGGCTTTGAGAAGTTCGCTTCGCTCAACTCTATCCACTCAGTAGAGCCCTGTCACCATGACAGCATGAGACACAGTTAGGCTTAACAGTTGCATACCTACTAGACATGCCAGGGCATAGCGTCTACAAGGTCGAAACAAGTGATATTGCAGTCTAAATTGATATTCTTCGACTTGCAGCCCTACCAAAGCACAACAACCACCGTTCACCCGAACCAACCCCTAGACCCCTCTCCGGACACCGTATGTAACGTCCGCACTCACCAGTCATCCCAGCCATCATTGTCCTTCTTCGCAGCCGGTGCTGCGGCACCTCCAGTCTTCTTGCCCATAGCAGACGTACCAATCGAGCTGCCGCTCTGCGTCTGCCTCTGGTCCGCCAGACTGCTAAAGCTGTCCCAAAAATCCTTTTTGCTCTCATCCAACGGGGCCTGTCTTGAGGCTCCGCCCTGGCCCCCCTGGCTGGGACCGCCCTCGACGAAGCGATTGAAGCCATCGTGGGCATTGCGAGCACCCTGCTGCGCGACGCGGCCCGCGTTGGCCGCCGCCATCTGCGCTTGCTTTGCAAAGTCGGATTCGGCAAGCTATTTTCAAGGAGGACGTCGGATTAGTCCGGAGTTCTTCGTTCGGGCCGGCGCCGGAGGAGATATGATTGAAGTAGAAGAGTCACCCACCTGTTTCGCTGTGGGCTGAATGTAGCCATCGTTGACCGTCTTGGCCGTCTTGGAGACGGTGCTTGTGAACCAGCCGAACCCCTTGGTCAGAGCAGCCACTGGATCCTTTTGTAGATCATCCACAGTCGGGATACCGCCCTCCTTCTTCTCGGGCATGGGGCTGCTGCCGAATCCTGCGTATTTTCCTCCCTGGCTGGGAGGCAAGTCTTCGGATCGGGAAGCGTTCTCGGCGCCGAGCTTGGAGAAGTATTTGTCGTCCACCTTGACCTTCCTGCCAGGACTGGCGGCGCGGCTGTTTGTGCTGCTGAGAGGTGTGCCCGTTCGGCTGACAGGCTTCGCCGCCGGTGCTGGTGCGGGCTTCTTCTCGCCGGGAACGTACTCCTTGCCCTCGACCTTGGCAGAGAGCCTGTCCTTCCACTCCTCACCGACCTCACCACTGTATCGCTCCGCGATCGTCGCGTCGTCCCACGAGATGCCTCTCATCTTGGTGTCCTCGTGCTGTTCGAAGAAGTTGCGCCAGTTCTCGTTGCCACCCAAGCGCATCCGTTCGATCTCGACCTGCTTAAATGCGTCCATTGAAATGCTGCGCACGAAAGAAATGTGCACACCGAGACCGCGGTGGACACCGGCGCATGAGAGGCAGATGAAGATGCCGAACTTCGGGGAGGCCCATTGCGGGGATGGTGCGTTGCAGTCGCAGCAGACGTTATTCTTGGCCTCCTTTTGAATCGCGGCCAGCTGTGAGGAGACGTTGGGTTAGCGGCGAGTCGCGAAGTCGCAAGCGAGGCACTCGACTCGGGAGAAAACTCACCTTGGCGCGCGTCTCGGGATCAACCTCCCACATGGCCTTGGAAGCCATCGTGGGAAGGAGTCAGGGCTGGTGATTGGGTATGAGGGGGAAACGCGTGGCAAAGGAGAGCAGGTTGAGGTACGTGGGAGGTTGTCTTGTCGCAGAGGAGTTGTGGAGGGGCTTTCTCGATGCCGATAAGGGGTTTTGCTGGCAGTCGACTAGGGTGCGGGAGTCTGGGCGTCTGGTCGGGTTGGGTACCTTCCAGTGACTGACGTTGCCCTCAATTTCATCCATGTATTTGAGTTTCTTGGCCTAGGGGAACGGACACGTGAGCTACCAAGTCTCTGGTAACACCAACCTGCCAAGTTGTGCTTCCAGATCTATGTAGTTATCGTCATGCTCGGGTGTATGGATTCTCATTCCAGCAATCGAGGCAGTACATATTGAACCTCTCAAGTCGGTCAGGTAGTCACGGCGCAAAAGACAAGGTAAGGTAGACAGGGGGACTTCAACTCCATGGGGGCTCTGCTGGAGACTCGACAGACAAGGAAAGGTCCAGACTTTGGTCTGGGACACTTGGCTTTTGGGGCTCTGCCGCCACCCAATGATAGTCCTCGAAACGCTATACATGCACCACTGAAACCAACCACGGATTCCCACCGAATGGTCAACGAAAAGTGTCCAGGTCCTGGGAACGACATACCTTACCTACCCAGATTTGTGTGGCCATGGAACTCCATGTGCAAGCTGTGCAAGGCAGCACTCTGATAGCAGCCGTTCAGATGATTTCTGCGCACTCGAACCACATTATGCAACCTTAAAATCACTCCACGATGATGCATTCTCTGACCGATTTTTGGTATTGCACCGCCCTTTTGTATTTTTTTGCTAACTGTTAAAAGCTACCCGATTTGAAACGTTTTGCGCCAAACTTTTCCTCTTCTTTTTAGACCGCCTCCAGCTTAAGCTAATTTACAACCCAGCATAGGGTGAC